GTATAAGTGAGATCATGTGATGTTTGTCTTTCTCTGCCTGGCTTATTTCATTTAGCATAAGATTCTCCAGGTCCATCTATACTGTCCCAAAGGGTAAGAGATCCTTCTTCTTTACAGCTGCGTAGTATTCCATGGTGTGAATGTCCCACAGCTTTTTTATCCACTCATCTACTGATGGGCACTTGGGCTGTTTCCAGATCTTAGCTGTTGTAAACTGTGCTGCTATGAACATAGGGGTGCATATATTCTTTCTGATTAGTGTTTCAGAATTCTTAGGATGTTTTTAATTTTAGCTTGAATAGGCAGTGCGACCTTACAGAACAGTCCACTGCTGTTTCAGTAGGAAAATTCCTTCATTTTCCATTCTTCTGCAGTTCTTAGAAAAGCACCTCATACAGGGAAGGCATTCAAATACTTGTTGGATTGAGTCAATTCTCTGGGTATCGCTCATAAATTAATAAGGAAGGTGTAACTCTGTATAGTTTCAGAGTAGTTAAAGAGAGAAAAAAAGAAATGCTACGTAACAGCATTGGGGCTTCAGGTGTTACCTAACAGACTAGAAAGCTTTCCAGCAGTGCACTTAAGATATCAGCCATAGCAACCTTACCTAGGAATTCTTCACCCTAAGTTTCTTTCTAATGCAAATTAGTTTGAATTTCTCTCTCCAGCCTCCTGACCCCTACCTGAAAGCCTTCTGCAACAAAGAAATAACTATAGTAATTAGGACTGCCTAGAAAGAACCTATTTCAAACTTCATTTCAAAAAGGCTTATATAGTTCTCTTGAACAATGCAAGGGTTAGGGGCGCCAACCCCAGTGCAGTCAATAATGTAAGCACAACTTTTAACTCCCCAAAACTTAATTACTAATAGCCTAACTACTATCAGGAAGCCTTACCAATACCATAAACAGCTGATTAGCATATTTTGTATATGTATTATATACTGTATTCTTACAATAAAGTAAGCTAGAGAAAATAAAATCTTATTAAGGAAATCACAAGGAAGGGAAAATACACTTACGGTACAGTACATATTTATTGAAAAAAACAAAAACAAAAACAAAAAAACCCAAAAACCAAAAAGCCAAACCCGTGTGTAAGTGGACCCACGCTTCACACGAGTGTTGGTCAAGGGTTAACTGTACTTCCTGTCACATACTTCTATCTCCCCTCTATTCCCAAGCTTACCTAAGATTATACATTTATATCTAATGCACACTGTTCGCAGTTTTCAAATAAGAAAAAGCTGAATTTCAGTCCCCTGCCCCAAACTGCCATTTTTGTAATTATAAACGCTTCATTCATGTTTCTAAAATCCCAGGCCCCGGGCTGATAACACAGCAGTCACCGGGTGAAAAGGCTCCTCCCGCCCCCCGCTGCCCGGCGGGCTGCCTTCCTCCGGGCCCCACGTTCCTGCAGGTCCGCCGCCCGGCCTGACCCCAGAACGCCCGCCGCGCCGGGGAGCTGACCCCCGCCCGCCGTCTTTACTAAACGTGCCCCGGGAGCTTCCAGCGCCCAGAATATCAGGAGCGCAATTGTGGCACAGCGCCTGCCACGGGCAGGGGCAGGAGGGAGGAGGGTTTCGGGAAGGAGGCCGCCCCACCAGGCTCACGGGCGGGCAGGCTCGCACCCCGCGGAGGTGCGGGAGGCCCGAGGTTCAGGCTTTGCCCCGCCGCTGAGCGGGGCTCCCGCGACTGGCAGAAGCGGGCAGACCCACCCTGGCGTAACTGGAGGCAGCTCCTGGTCTCCGGGAGCGGGAGAGAGCAACGCTAAGTTTTTGTTTTGTTTTGTTTTTTAAGAAAATCGATCGGGATACCAACAGGCTAGAACTAAGAGGGAGTCCTGATGGTGGCCACAGAGGGCGTTTGCGGAGCAGCGTCAAGGCGCTTGAGAAGTTAGGAAAGCCAAGTGTAAAGCGCGCAGGGATGCAAACGTCTACCTAGCCGGGTGCAAGGGGCTGTCAAACCGTCTAGCTGCAAAGGTCTGGTAAAAACCAACAAGCGAACAGCACCCCACCACAGACCTTTGCTGCTGCGGCTGTGGCGGAGGCTGTGGGGAGGTCTGCATAGGACGGCACTTCTGGAGACCTTGTCCCGTTCGGGGTTGGAGAGCGCAGGTGTGCGCAAGTCAAAGTGGCCGAATATTATTTGTAGGAAAGAGTGGGAGCAAGAGGCAGAGAGGAGACAGAGCCATCAGGAGAGGCGGCGACACCGGGAGCCCCGCTGGGCCGACCTGCGGGCCTGGCCGTCAGCGCTG